CGGTGAAGGAGGGCAAGGTGGGCCGCAAGGACGGGCAGATGCTGCCAGGCGAGGATGAGCCATTGCACGCCCTGGTCACTGCCAACACCATGGAGAACGTCAAGAAGGCTGTGGAGCAGGTCCGTGGGTGTCCTAGGAGGGCTGGGGGGCAGCCCCTGGCAGTCCAGACTCCCCCCCTGACACCCACTGTGCCCCCCAGATCCGGAACATCCTGAAGCAGGGTATCGAGACACCCGAGGACCAGAACGACCTGCGCAAGATGCAGCTGCGCGAGCTGGCGCGGCTCAACGGGACCCTGCGGGAGGATGACAACAGGTCAGGGGGGCCCCACACCCCCAGTTCACCACAAATAACCCCCCAAGCCCCCAGATAACCCCCCTGTCCCCTGCAGGATTCTGCGGCCATGGCAGAGCACTGAGACCCGCAGCATCACCAACACCACCGTGTGCACCAAGTGTGGCGGCGCTGGACACATCGCCTCTGACTGCAAGTTTGCCAGGTGACTCCAAAATAAACCACCAGATTTCCCTAAGATCCCCCCAAACCCTGCTGAGACCCCAGAAAACCACCAAACCCCCCCTGAGATTGCCTTAAACCCTTTGAGATCTTCTATGGCTCACCTGAAATCCCCCCAGCCACCTGAATTCTCTGCAAGTGCTCCCTAAATCTCCTGAGATCCACCCTCAAACCCTCTGGGATTCTGCCGACCCCTGAAACCTGCCTGAGATACTCCTAACCTCCCCAAGATCCTCCCCAAGATCCTCCTCAAAATCCTGTGGGATGCCCCTGAGGTCTCCCCAAAGCCAGAGGTGTTTGGAGTGCAGCACCCCAGTCTCACTGTCCCCATTGCAGGCCCGGGGACCCGCAGTCGGCGCAGGACAAGGCACGCATGGACAAGGAGTACCTGTCGCTCATGGCCGAGCTGGGCGAGGCCCCCGTGTCCGTCAGCTCCAACGCCGCTCACAACAACAGCCCCTTGTCCAGCAGCCACCGTGCTGCCAGCCAGGCTGGGGGGCAGCCCCCACCGGTGAGTAACCCCCCTTAAATCCCAAACCTGCCCCCGAACCCACCCAGCATCCCCTTGTCCAGCAGCCTCTGCGCCACCAGGCAGGCTGGGGGGCAACCTCCCCTGGTGAGTGACCCCCTGATCCCCCGATCCCTTCTCCCCACAGAGCCACTCCCCGCAATGAGCTCTGTCCCTTTGGAGCCCCCCCTGACCCTTGTGACTCCCCATTTCCCCCCCCCTAGAGCCAGCCTCCTGGATGAGCTCCATCACCTCAGAGCCCCCCAAAGTCCCTGAACTGTCAGACCGCCAGACTCCTGTGATTCCCCCAGACCTCATGTGATCCCCCATTTTCCCACAGAGCCGCCCCCCCTGGATGAGCTCAGCGCCTTCGGAGAACCGCCCGTACCATGGGCTGCACGGGGGGCCAGGGGGGCCAGGGGGCCCCCACAGCTTCCCTCACCCCATGGCCAGCATGGGAGGGGGCCATGGGGGGCACCCGCTACAGCACACCCCAAATGGGCCTCCCCCCTGGATGCAGCCCCACCACCCCCCCATGGGGGGGGGTCCCCACCCCCCGGGGCACCCCGGCCCCCACCACATGGGTACGGACGATCCTGGCTGGAGGGCTTGGGGGCTGGGTGGTCAAATGGGAGGAGGAGGATGGAGAAGGTTTTTTGGGGGTGAAAAGGGGGGGTTTGGCACCCCCCCCAGTGGCACAGTGGCTCCCCTAGGGTGGGGAACTGGAAAGTTCTTGAAGGGAGGGTGAGAATTTGGGAGGGGCTGAGGGATTTGGGGGGAGATTTTGGGAGGGGGGCTTGGGGGGATTTTAGGGGTGAGGGAGTTTGGACACTCCCTCAGATGTGGGGTTTGTTCATCTTCAACCTGGGAAGGTTTTGGAGATGGCAGAGGATTTTTTGGGGGGCCGGGGGGGATTTGGGGGT